TTGCTCACCGTTCTTGTGATCATTTCGACCCCACGGGGTGAGATCTTGCGTGGAGCCCCAGATCGAGGGAGATTATCAGTGGTCTTGTATGTCTTCCATTTTCTAATAATTGCTCCCACAGTTGATTTCTTCACACCAAACTGCTTACCTATTGCAGATTCAGTCTTCCCAGCCTGGTGCAGGTCTACAATTTAGTTTCTGGTGTCCTTTGACAGCTCTTTGGTCTTGGCCATAGTGGAGTTTGGAGTGTGACTGTTTGAGGTTGTGGACAGGTGTCTTTTATACTGATCATGAGTTGAGGACAGAGGAGGCTCTTAAAGAAGAAGTTACAGGTCTGTGAGAGCCAGAAATCTTGTTTGTTTGTAGGTGACCACCATAATTTGCAAATAAATTATTAAAAAATCAGTCAATGTGATTTTCTGGATTCTTTTTCTCATTTTGTCTCTCATAGTTGAGGTATACCTAGGATGAAAATTACAGGCTTCTCTCATCTTTTTAAGTAGGAGAACTTGCACAATTGGTGGCTGACTAAATACTTTTTTGCACCACTGTATATTCCTCTCACAAACAACTCTTGAAAGGTATTCATTATTAAGTTCATCAGTCTGTTTTCACTGGCTTTAGTCATTTAATTGCAGAAATGATTGTTGTTGAGAGTACAACACTGACATAAGGTTGGTGGCAGACAAAATATGACATCTATCTTACCTGATTGTTGGAAGCTTGTATAAACAACCCCATTATAATCAGGGAGATTGAGCAAACTTTAGATTTGTGTTTGCTCTGCTGCTGTAAGCTCTGTCTTTTATTAAGTGTGCAGTTTGACCTGAAAATCACCAAAAAATCAGGCTTCGAGGGCTCTCGAAAAGCTCAGAAAAACATGTTTAATTTGAAGAAGGCCGCTTCTCTACAGCTGAGGTAGAGGTGCAGATCTTTATCGACAGAAGAACTGAAAGGAATATGACTTTTGTATACAAATATAGCTTCACCATTTTATTTTCTTCATTAAAGCATGAAACACTTAAAACATTATCACATTGATGGTCATTTTCTCACTCAAAACACAGTATCATTCCAATTAACATTTTAATAACTTATTTGTACTTAAACTGAATTGTTCATAGTCCATAGTTAAGTTGGAGAAATGGAGATAGATGCAATGGTTACATGATCACTCAAGATAAAGATGTTGTTGTTTTTGTATATTTTGCATCAACAATATATATTTGTTTCATTTAACAAAGACCAGGCTATATTGCACTTACTGGAAATGGGTCTACAAAGCTGTGCACTTTTATGCTGTTTTTCCAACACAGTTGATGTAATTAAATGATCTTGTGATGTTCTTCTGTCTTTATTGCTGCTGGGCAGTCTGCTGGCAGTCCAGTGATGAAGCAGACAGTTTTGAGATGAAATCAATGTGCAGAACACCACTTTATGTTCTGAATTTAGTTATCCAACTACGGCAACATGACATCGCTAAGGCTCTGCTCTCACAAAGTGGATTATTATTTGTTTTATCTATATTTTGCCAGTGTCTTAAACATGTGCCAGAGAGTGCATCTGTCTGTGCCGTCTTATATTTGGAACTAGTGGCTGACAGTTTAGTTACAAGGACACTACAGCAGAGTGTCACTGCAACCCTTTTCAGACCAGGCAGATGTCATAAGCCAAAGATTATGCCAACCAGCAGTCTATGAAATGGCAGATGGGTGGAAATTTGTGAGCATCTGATTGGCTATTTGCTATAACTGTTATATTCCTAATTACTTATCCTCTTGGATCATTACAACCTGATGTTACCATTGAGCAAGAGGTGCTATTGATAAATGACTGACTGCTGGAATTGGTGTTTTGTTTTTTAAATGGAACCTGATTTACATAATATTATGACATGAATACAAAAGTTAATAGTTTGTTGGTTATAGCCTGATATACATCACATTGTCTTAAATTAGACCATTCAAATAAATGTATCAGCATTTAACTGATGTATGCTTTAAACCCCTTTTGGATTCCTTATTCAATTATGGCTGAATTGTCAGGGGCTATGAGAGAATGAGACTCCACTGATGTTGAATAATTAGATTAAGACAATAATAGGATTCAATATATTTCTTTGTCCTCTGTGGCAGATATTTTAATAGGAGTTGAGACCCTACCAAGCCATTAGCCAGATGGGTGAGAGTAACTTCATCTCCAAACAATGTCTTCAATGAAGCTAATGACCTAATTAGCTTCATAATACAGGACACACCGTACACTGAGTCACAAATGATACTGTATGTTTTATTGCAGTTCTCAATTAAGTGTAATCATACTTTTTTGTGTGACAAAAGTAAAACAGTGACACTTTAATGAGAGGCCAAATGACACATCCTGTTAAACAAAATACACACATTTATGAAATATTGATCTGAACTAGGAGGACTATTCTAGTTGATGGCATTATGATCTGTCTGACAAACTCTGTCAGTAAAGATAAAAGCCTCTAAAATAAACCTCTTGAATTAAATTCTATAAACGATTTCAAAATAAGACTGATTACGAGGTGATACCCTCCTCAGTTAATCTCCCTTCTCTGTGTTAAGTGATTTTGAAAAGGAGCCTTTTCCATAAAGCATCTTGAACCCCCGTTGGTGCCATCGTGGAGTTTGCTCATCTGGCGACGTAACATGGATAGTTTGTGTTGAGATACAACTGATTAGCTTTTGTTTACTGAAATGTAGTCTGCTTTGACATGCAGCTCTGTTGATTCAGGAAGTAAAGTGTGATGGGCTTGGCACATGGTGGGGGACGGAAGATAGAGCCTGACGATGTTGACGTTTTGAAAGAATCACAGTCAAGAATGACTCAAATACAGCCTCAGAGATTTTACTGGTCCAAAAGAATGGCGAGTAGACCAGAGGCCTGTACTACGAAGCCAGTTCAACATACCCTGGAAATCTTTGGTCTATATCCGGCTTAACTAACCCTAACAAACGCTATCTCGCTAAACGGTCATACGATGCTGGTTATCAGCTCAGTAACTCAAGCCAGGTTTTCTGTTTTCGGCTAAGGGCGCGTTCACATGAAAGGGGCGGGGTTAGCAACATTTGACCAATCAGAAACCTGGAGAAGCGTACTGACAGCGTCAACTTAAAGGGGACCTATCATGCAAAATGCACTCTTGTACATCTTTTATACATTAATATGTGTCCCCGGTGTGTCAGGGAACTCACCAAGTGTCAGAAAATACAACCCTCTCTCTTTTCCTCTATACCCAAATCTCTAAAAAAAAGTGGCTGTAACGGCTCTGATACAGACTGATCCAGATTTGAATTATTTTCTACGTCACAAAAGGGGTGCTCCGCTTAGTGGTCAATTCTCCACCTATCACGGGAATGAGAGGTTGGGCCACGGCCGGCCATTGCCGCTCGAAAGCACTGGAGACGCTGTAGTACATATGCCAGGCCTGTAAGTGGCGCTGTAGTCTGCCACAAAAGCAGCGAAGAAGACTTCCCGCGCATGGTTGCCATGGTTGCCCTTCTGTTTATTCTCCGCTGTGGCTCTTTTTCTCCCTCCCCGAGGCAAGCGTTTGCGCCTCCTGCTTTAAAACAAATGAATAATGACTCTATATAATCATATGTAAGATCAGCATGAAGGTGTTATTTTCCCCATAATGACCAAGTCGCTGCACATTATCTCGCTTATTACATGGCCACATTCCCAACAAAGTAACGATATGACTCCCAATATTAATTGAAATGTTTTATGGATTTAGAAAATAGTTGTATGTATTGATTTCAATTGACATGTATCCGCTAAGAAAAATAATCCGTGTTACTGTTTGAACTAACGTAGCAACGGCAGGAACTGCTTCGATAGCGTTTTTGAGGAACATTTTGATTACAGATTTGAAAACATCGTTGCTTGCATTAAAAGTAGCACAATTCATTATGTCAAACCTTGGAAAGTATCTAGATATCCTGCCCTAATGCCAAAGTTAACTGGCAACCGCCCCTTCCCTTCCCGTCTTAACCGGGAACAAAGGTAGAAGGGAAAATCTTCGAAAATTTTTTCCCTTTTACATAAAAAAATAGGCCACCACCTCAAAAAACCTTTTTTATTTTTCAAAGTATAAGGAAGTTTCGGTTCCTGAAAAAAAAACAAAAACCCAAATTTTTCTTTAGTTTTTGTTTTTTTTTTTTGGTGGGCTTTGGGGCCTTTTTTTTTTTATCAAAAAAAATGCGCTTGAAGGCCCTGACTAAAAAAGCTAAATCTTCCGCCCCCCCAAGGTTGTTTATATCACAACTTTCCCTTGGGTATGGATAAATATTTCCCCGTATAAATAATGGAAAAAATAAAAAAGCTTTTAATGTTTTTTGTCCTAGGTACCCGTTAAAATCGGTAAAAGGACCTAAAGCGAGGGGGTTTTAAATTGGGTGAACAAAGAAAACCGTAACCCCCGAACCCTAAGACACCTCCCCCTTTGGGTCCCGTGGTAGAATGGGTTCCGGACCCCCGGTATACGAAATGGATGTCGCAAGAGGTCGCCGAAAGCTTGCCGTTTAACAGGGCGCCGACAGGAGGAGGACTAACCACCCTCAACCGCGTTATCGGCATCGCGGTGAAGACACTGCAGTGTTTTCACAAGTTTAGACCTAGTCAGACATAGTCTAGGCAACGTTCGGGGAAAAATTCCTCTAAACACATACCTCCTTTTTTCCTCCTCCCAACACAAAAGACTGTGAACCACCGTCAAGGGACCTTGTGGCCCCTGAGTATAAGTACATATTTTCTGCAATGTTTTCACGTAAAACGGTACTATCCAGTGCAAATTCATATATTTATAGCAAAAAAAAGTTAGTTATGGATTGTCCAGGACGGTAAATCGGCACGGAGTAAAGCTCAGATAAACGGAGAAAAGGTCACGAAAAAACGTCCCCGACTAAGACACTCGACGTTCGACTGGTGCGGGGGGACGTCCTCTCCCCTCGCACGAAACTCTAGTCGATTACCCGACAGTCTTCCCCCTCTTTTTCTCTAGAGGCAGAGGCACAAAATGAAGAATATCTTCATTCTTCCCTCTTCACTACCCCGTCTTTGGGAGGAAAAATGCGTCCGCGCAGGTCTTGTATCTGTAGTTTGCCGC